AGAGCATTAACTGCTCCTCCAGAGGTCCTGAGTTCAATTCTCAGCACCCACATGGTGGCTCACAGCCATCTGTAATGGGATCTGGTGCCCTCTTCTGGTGTTCAGGCACACATGCAGACAGAACACTGTGTACGTAATGAACAAATATTAAAAACAAAAACCTTTAAAACCAGGTGGTACAGTCCTCAAACCCCAACACTCAGGATGCAGACAAAACATGTGGGCTTCTGTGAGTCGGAGCCCAACCTGGTCTCCACAGGGTTCCAAGCGATTGAGGCTACACAGTGACACTCCATCTCAAAACAGCAAAACAAACCAAGGGTTTGGAAACCCATTTCTGGGACCCTCCTGCCTGGCAACAGGAAGCTGTTACTCTATTTTGCTAAACAAATATGTGTTGCTTACCTAAAAAAGAAAGAAAGGAAGGAAAGAAGAGAGAGAGAAAGGAAAAAAACCAAAATAGTTGGCAGAATACTTGCCCTGCATGCATGAAGCCCTAGATTTGACCCCAGCACTGTTAAATAAACAAAAACAAAAACAAAATCCCAGTCTTATCTACCTGACTTCAGTTTTGGGTGATGGAGAAGTGCACAGTAAGAATGCATGTTTAAAGACAGGCGGTGGTGGCACATGCCTTTAATCCCAGCACTTGGGAGGCAGAGGCAGGCAGATCTCTGTGAGTTCAAGGCCAGCCTGGGCTACAGGGTGAGTTCCAGGACAGGCGCAAAGCTACACAGAGAAACCCTGTGGGGGGAGAGGGGGAGAAGAATGCATGTTTAGCTGGGTCTATCAGGAATTTACCTTCATTCTGATAAGGGATTTGACTAAAAACTAACAGCTTCATGAAGAGATTGGATTTTTGGATTCAGAGGACTATATCACCATATCCCCAGGATAAATCATGAGCATGACCCCCAGGATGCCTCAGTTTCCCTGTTTGCAAAAGGAATATAGCTGTAGTGCCTCCTTAAGCTGTCATGCAGTTGGCAGTGTCTGGTATTTTGTCAGCACCATTTAAATATTGGTTAAACAAACTCAGACAGATTCTCGGGGATGGCTTGTGCAGTCCTTGGCTATAACCTCTTTAACAGTTACAGAACAAACTTGTTAGATCTTCATATGGCACGCTTGTCAAATGCTTAGATGATTTGAGTGTCAGATGATGAGACCAAAATCCAGAAGAAGCTTGAGACGCTAACAATGAGAAGCACAGTGCATGAGATGGAACTAAATCCTCTTTTGTGTTTTCACTCTGTTTGTGATAAAATAGGGCGACAAGCAATTACAGAAGGAAGTATGAGGTACACTCCATCAGTGTGGAAGTCAAGGTAGGGGGACCCTAAAATGTGTGGTCACAGCAGCCACAAAGGGCAACGGACGCTATAGAAGAGCTCGACTCAATTTCTCCTTCTTATAAGGTCCAGGATCCCGGTCAGTTACACCCACACGGGTGAGTCTTCTACGCTCAATGAAGATAACCCTCTACAGTCATGCTTAGAGGCTTATTTCCAAGCTGGTTCTAGAGCCTGTCAAACTGACCAGCGTAACCATCACATCTAGAAAAATTTTAAGAACAAAACAAATAATATCCAAATTCACTTTTTATAATTATTATGCTGGCTTACCAGGACTTTCTGTGGATATTTTGTTTTGTTCTGTTTTTGTTTTGTTTTTTTTTTTTGAGACAGGGTTTCTCTGTGTAGCCCTGGCCATCCTGGAACTCACTGTAGACCAGGCTGGCCTCGAACTCAGAGAACCACCTGCATCTGCCTCCTGGTACTAAAGGTCTCCACTGTGCACCACCACAGCCTTGGGTTTCTGTGTGTTTTTAAAGGGAATTTTAGTTGACTCTTAACTCAGCATGTAAAAAAGTATGTTTAGCAATTAATGCACTATTCGGCTATAATGAAAGAATTCAGTGTCCTAATAAAGACACCACCCTGTGTTGTCATCCACAAGCATGAGAAGCTGGCTTTAAACCCCAGTCAACTAAGAACCACCCACACTGCAGAGCCAGGTGCTCCCCATCCCCCATCCCACCTTCAATGACTCAGCGCCAAGGACCCCATCATCACTAAAGGCCAATACTAAGCTTTCCCACCTTTACCACCCCAGCTGTATTTCCCTATTCGCATGTTCCATACTCCCCTATAAAGCCCACCATCACCACCTGGTCTGTAGCTGTCTCTATCCTACTTAGAGGAAGCCATTTTGCATCCCTCCCCCTCCTAATAAATCTCTTACATGAGGTCTGTTGCATGGTGTGATGTTTTTCAGTATTTCTTGGCCCCAATTACCAAGATACTCTTTGGTTGCAAAACCCTTTCACCAGTACCCATGTAAAAAGCAAAGTGTGGTGGTAGGTTTGTAATCCCGGCACTGAGCCAGAGACAATCCTGGAGACAGAGACAGGCAGATCCCTGGGACTCCCTTGCCAGCCTGCCTCTCTTAATCTGCTAGCTGATAAACTGTCTCAAAATATAAAGTGGAGATACCTGAGGAAGGACACTCAAGGTTGACCTCTGGTGTCTACACACATGAGCATATGCATGAAGCTGGGCAAAATGGCACATGCCTTTAATCCCAGCACTTGGGAGGCAGAGTTTGAGGCCAGCCTGGTCGACATAATAAATTCCAGGACACCTGGCTACATAGAGAGATCTTGTCTCAAACACCTGCCCACCACACACACACCAAAAAGCATAAACGCACATTGCATGAACATATGATTCAAGATGGCAACTGTAGCTTGCTCATCTCCTCAGGCATCTAAGTAGTAACTCAACTGCTGACATCTAGAAAGAGAATGTCTGAGTACACAGATACACAAGCAGATGTGAGGCAGGAAGGAGCCAGACTTTCATGAGAGGGACAGAAAAGATCCTCAGGTGGGTCTCAGAGAACAGCCTCAACACTTGATAAGAAACAGAACTTTATCCAGGGTTCCCAGGGCTTTCTGTGCTACTATGCTAAAATAAACTCCCCTCTAATGGAGATTGCTACAGGCTTTATCTGACCCACTTCCTATAGGACATCAAGCTACTTGCAGGGACTTTATCAACTTTTCTCCCATAATAATCCCCAGCCCTGACAAAGGGAGATATTGTCATCCCCATGGTACAGATAAAAAATTGAGGGAAAGAAGTAAGGTGAATTGCCTGAGGTTACACAGAACTGGAATTACAACCTGGTATCTATATAATCATGGAGCATACTACATGAGTTTTGGGAGGGGTCCACTGGAATCGCATTATAGTCTTTAAAAAAAGTCTAGTCTATTAACTTTAATCTCTAGGAGAAAGAAGATTAATTGTATTAATTATATACCAAAATCATTGAGTAGCCGCTTTAAATTCTACACATTTATTCTAATCTTTCTCAAATACTTGGGAAGTCTGGGTTTTATCATTAAGAAAATATGGGAAATTAACTGTTTTTTTTTTAAATTAAGGCAAATATTTGTTTGCTAGAATCTCCAAGGAAAGTAATTATTCTAGAAAGCTGTACAGTTCAGACAGGCTCCTTCAGCTCATGGGGAGTAGGAAGTCACCCAGACAGCAGGAATCCAGATGGCCTCCAGGCTCAATGAGCAAACAAAGGTTGGGGAAAACATGTTTTTAACCAAAGCATTTGCATGCATACATAAGTTATTATTATACAGATTTACATATTCCACCTAATTATCAAACAAATGCATGTTCATTACTTAAAATCTTGAAAATAAGCCAGCTGTGGTGATGAACACCTTTAATCTCAGGACTTGGGAGGCAGAGACAGGTAGATCTCTGAGACAGCCTGGTCTACAGAGTGGGTTCCAGGACAGCCAGGGATACACAGAGAAACCCTGTCTCAAAATATATAAATAAATAGAAAGTTAAGCAAAACAGGGGGCTGGAGAGATGGCTCAGCAGTTAAGAGCACTGGCTTCACTTCCAGAGGTCCTGGGTTCAGTTCCCAACACCCACATGGTGGCTAATAACTCCAGTTCCAAAGGATCTGATGCCCTCTTCTGGTCTCTGTGGGCACTGCACACATGGTACAAATATACTCATGGACAAAACACATTAAAAAAATAAAAGTAAATAAATCAAAAGTATCTGCTATTCAACTACCAGGTAAGAAACTTCTGTACCTGGTCTGGTGGTGCAGTTCTGTCATCCCAGTGCGTGGGGGGGCTGAGGCAGAAGGATTGAAAATTTGAGCTCAGCTTGGGAAATACAGTTAGATCCTGTCTTAGAAGTTATTAAATTAAAAATAGTTTTGTTTTAATGAGGAAGGACCAGGAACACCCCATCTACCTGTCTACAAACTAGTCAGGTCATGAGGTCAGAAGCCACAAGCAGCTCTGAGTCCTGTGAATATCTCCTTAAGTAGAAGAAATACTGACTCATCCATGGAAAACTACCTTATGTGTTCTTGGCTATCTGTCTCAGACAACCTAAGACCAAAATTCAATATACCTGGTGGTATTAAGAAAAAATAAATTCCTAAGCCAGGTAGTGGTGGTCCACACCTTTGATCCAGCACTTAGGAGGCAGAGGCAGGTAGATCTCTGAGTTTGAGACCAATTTGGTCTACAGAGCAAGTTCCAGAGCAGTCAAGAATACACAGAAAAACTCTGTCTCAAAAAAATTTTTAAAAAAAGAGGAAGAAAAAATAAATTCCTTCAATTTCAGTTGCTTGGGAATCTTTTACCATGATTCAAGAAACATCTAATTCATTTTCATAGGACAACCAACAGCACAGAGCAAAACTGATTACCCCTCTATGTGCACACTGATCACAGATATTAAATGCCATGGTTTTAAGATATATTTTGACGGAAGTGTCCCTTTTTTCAGACAAGACACATAACAGAGCGTTAGAACCAATATTAAGTACTGAATCCAAAACCACTAACCATCAACAAAGGCTGAGGACAACGCTTTGCCAATGGCGAACATGCTAGTTCTAGCGCAGTGGATTCCAGCCAGCTTCCCTCCTCAGAAAACCACCATTACCTTTTTGTTTTCAGCCACACCATCCTCACAGTCCAGCACCGCACAATCCACTTTCAGGGATGGAACTTTCCTTATTTTCTTTTCGTCATTCCCAGGCACATACAGCACTGCCCTCCGAGGAATATACTTGTGATTGGACAAGGAGCTATACCCAGGTCTGCAGATACTGGCCACAAGAGATGCCTTCCTGCAAGAGAGGTAAACTAGGGTTAGTCCAAAATAGAATTCTGCACTTACAAATTTGTGAATGGGAGTCGGGGTCAGGGATCAGGGGTTGGGGGCTGGAGAGATGGCTCAGTGGTTAAGAGCACTGGCTGCTGTTCCAGAGAACCTGGGTTCAATTCCCAGTACCCACAAAGCAGCTCACAACTGTCTATAACTTCAGTTCCAGGGGTTCTGACATCAACGCACACAAAATAAAGTTAAATAAAATTTAAAAAGTAAAAATAAATAAATTTGTGAATGAACTCTTCACTTATCCATTCATTCATTTTGGTTTTTAAAATATTTAAAAAATTTAAATTACGTGTATGTGATGGTGGTAGTGGGTAACACATGAGCATATAAGTAATACAGTTGCCTGAGGAGACCAGAAGAGGTCTTTGGGGTCCCTTGCAGCTGAAGTCACAGGTGGTTATGAGTGACCGGAATTGATGCTAGGAACCGAATTCAATCTTCTGCAAGAGCAGTGCACACTCTTAGGTGCTAAGCCATTTCTCTCACCCTATTTTGGCTTTTCTGTTTGTTTTCAAGACAAGGTCCCTCTATGTAGCTCTGGCTGTCCTAAAACTCACTACATAGAGCAGGCTCACCTTGAACTCACAAAGATCCACTTGCCTCTGCCTCCTGAGCTCAGGGATTAAAGGCATGTGCCACAACAGTCCACCTATTTTTTTGGCTTTTTTGAGATGAGTCTTGTTACACAGCCTTGGCTCATCACTATGGTGCCCAGGTTGGTCTCAAACTTGGGGTAAACCCTGGGGAATCTGAGTCACATACTTAGTACATGTTTAGATTCACATACACTCAGTTTTCAACATCAAAAATCAGAAGCCATACAAAGAAATAGGAAAATATGGCTCTTACAAGGAAAAAAAAAAAAACAATCAGTAAAGGCCAGCTCAGAAAAATGCCTGATGGTGGTTCCATTAGGTGAAGATGTTACAGCAACTATCATGTTTTGAGGTTGTTGTTGTTGTTGTTGTTGTTTTTCCTTGACAGGGCCTTGTTCTAGAGCTCAAGGCTTGGAACTCAAGACCACACTTGGTGTTGCAGCAACAGCGTCAGCCTCTTTGCTCCCAGAAATGATCAAAACACAGACCCTAATACTTGGAGAACATGGTCTTGGTTTGGTTTACCCTGAGTCCATCAGGCAATGTGCAAATCATTCCAAACATATACACAGCTAAGACATGACTGAGAAGTGGGGGACAGTAAAAACTCAAACCAACCCAAAGTGACTACATTTGCCACCCAAGTGGTCCATGACAGGCCTTCAGTGAACTCCAGAATTTCAAGGCTCAGCATAGTGGGCCATGCCTATAATCCCAGTACTCAAGAGACTGAGACAGGTGTTACAGATGTAGTTCAGTAGGTCAAGTGTTTACCCAAGGATGCACAAAGCCTTGGGTTGATTCCCAACAATACATAAACAAGACATGGTAGTTTACACCTGCAATCCCACTACCTAGGAGGTGAGGCAGGAGGATCAGCTCAAGATCATATATGGCTACACAGGAGCTAGCCAGGCCTCAAGATTGAAGGGGGGGGGGGGGGAAGCAGCACCAAGTGGGCGGCCAAGGCAGGGAGGTCGTGAGTTTGAGTCCAGCCTGGGACACATAAAAAACACCTCAAAACAGAAACAAAAACAACACTGAACTGGGTTCTGGAGTTCCAAAATGTTTAAACCTACGAGACCCTGTAGTGATGTCTGCCCATAATTCCAGCATGGATGAGGGGCAAAGACAGGAGGATCCCCAGGACTTGCTGGCCAGCTGGTCCAGTCAAATCTGTGAGCTTCAGGCTCAGTGAGAGACCTCCTCTCAAAAACTAAAGCAGAGAGCACCCAAGACGTTGACCTCCATGCCCGTGCACACACACACACACACACACACACACACACACACACACACACACAAGGTCCACCTCTTATTCTTAGAATTAAGGTCGCAGTGTGATTTTTCAACAAACTGTGGAGGAGGAGGCAAAGAAAGGTAAGGAAAGTGGGAAGTTGTTGGTCCAGGGTTCAAACTTGTGGCTAAAAGATAGATAAATCCTGGAGATTATACTAACAATATATCATATATTTCCAACTTATTAAGAGAGTAGATTTTAATTATTCTCATCAAATATGCATTAACTATGAGAGGTAATGGATGTGCCAATTATTTAATGAGTAATTTCATAATGTATATCTATATCAGAACATTACAGTGTACTCTTTCAATATGTCTTGTCAATTTTGCTTCATTGAAAGCTGAAAAATATTTACAAAGATATCTAATGTTAAATGAAGAAAGTTTCAATCGATATCTTAATTATACGTTATTTATTTATTATCTCTGTGTATGCGTATGGGTGGGCATGTGCATAGAAGGAAAGGTTCTCTCCTTCCACCTTTGTGTAGTTCTGGAGCTCAAACTCAGGTCATCAGGCTCCCACAGCAAGCCATTACCCACTGAGCCGTCTCTCTGGCCCCTTGGGCTGGTATTTTAAATGGGAGATGTAACGTTATAAATGCATCGTATCTTAACTTAGTGAAATATCCAATGAGAAATACCTAGAAGGAAGTTCCATGAAATTCGATTAGGGATGGCTCTGAAGTGTGGATGTTGGGGTTATTACTTTCTGCCTCCGCATGTTTCCCTTATTTTAAACATTTATCAGAAGTGATGTCACACTCCTTTCTTATTCCTTTTATAATTGGCTGATAAACAAACTAATAAACACATTTCAAAGGTTCAAAATGGCAGTAAAATGTAGTTAGAAAACATAAAGGCAAATGATTTGAAAGTGTGTTTGTCCTAATGTTCTGACTGACTGAAGTGGGAAAAAGACAAACACCAGGTGGCAAGGACAGAGGGACCTCCCACTGCAGTCTGTCCGGGTCCTAGAGACACTGTGGGCCATTCCTGCTGCAGCCTTTACCAGGTACCTTGTCTAAGTTGCTGCTGCATGGAAAGGCCCCAGGCTGCAGGACACCAGACATGGTGAAGAGGTGTCCCCAAAGCAGCAGGGCCTACCCAGAGGTGCAGAGAGGGACATCCAACAGAACGGCCCGTGAAACAGGCCAGGAAGGCTCAAGGCTGGAGTACAATGAGGATTGAGAGGATTCAGGAAGGACAGGACATGTTTGACATAAAAAGAAAAGTGTAGTGGGATCTGAATTTCAAGTTCTATTGTGGACCCTGAGATCTCTAGGGGCCTCCAGCACAGCAGTCTTGGCTCCACAGAGGGAGGGAGGTTTCTGCAAGCCTTCCCTCTTTTCCTCCCCCATCCCTGGCTGCTCCCAAATCTGTCCTGTGCTTGAGTTGTGTTCAGCGCTGGTACTGCTATGAATACAACCACAATAGGTGACAAGACCAAACTTATTTTCTCTTACATGCTTGAAGTTATGGCTGCTTCACAGTCAACACGTAAATGTATTCAAACAATATGCAGAGCATGAGTTGAAAAACATGTGGTAGCCTAACGGTGAGTTCTCTTTTTGGAGGCGACACTTCAGAGGGAAGCCCCTCCCGGCCTGACCCATCTTCTGCTTTCTTCCCTCCCCCACCTAGTTACCTATTTCTGTATCTAGGTCCAGGGGTAGGGGGCTCCCAACCTAAGAATCAATAGAACCACTGCCAGAGAGTGTTTAAAGATTTATCAGATTTAGTCAGGGATGGCAGTGCACACCTGTAATCCCAGCATGAGGATCAGTAGTTCAAGCTCATTCTCAGCCAATGAGACCCTGTCTTAAAGCAATAACACACAACAAAAATAATCAATTCAGGGGTTGAGCATGACGGAGCACACCTTTAATCCCAGCACTCAGGAGGGTAGACAGATTTCAGTGAGTCCCAAAGCAGCCTGGTCTACACGGAGAGTTCCAGACCAGCCAGAGTTACAAGTGAGGCTCTGTCTTCAAAATAAAACAAAAAGGTGGTGGTGTGCCTTTAATCCCAGCACTTGGAGGCAGAAGCAGGCAGATCTATGATTTCAAAGTCAGCCTGGTCTACAGAGTGAGTTCCAGGACAACCAGAGCTGTTACACACAGAAATACCGTCTTGAAACAAAAAACAAACCAACAAACCTGTCCAACTAAATCTCCTTTTGAAGAACTAACTCCAACTCTGCTTCATACTGGCTCATTCTGGAATTCCTTCTGGAGGCAAAGTCAAGGGTGTGCCTTCACCCTGGAGTTCCAGGCCGTCGAGTGTGCACTGACACTGACGTGGCATCTCACCGGTGCAGGTGACACCAAGGCTTCAGGCCTTTCCTAAGGTCCCTTCATGGCTCTAATGTGCAGCTAAGTGCGCGGGCCAGAGCTACAACTTCCCAGTGTGTGGAGGCTGCCCTGAGACAAGTGCTTCTGTTCAACAGACAGAGCCACATATAAAGGAGTGTGCCTGTAATCCCGGCTCTTGGGAGGCAGAGGCAGGACCACTGCCAGTTCAGTGCTGGCCTACGCTTCACAGTAAGTTACAGGAAAACCAGAGCTGCACAACAAGACACTGCCTCAAAAATAAAAAAATTAAAAATAGGGTGGAGGGAGCCTGGGGAGATAGCTCAGCCTGTAGAGAGCTTGTCTCCCAGTCATGAGAAGCGGAGGTCAGCCTCTAGAATGCACGTCAAAATGTCAGACATGGAGGTGCACACTTGTCATCCCAATGCTGGGGAAGCAGACCAAAGGATCCCTGGGAATCACTGCCCATCCAGTGTAGCCTGCTTGGTGAACTCCAGGCCTAGATCCCGTTTCCAAGGAGATGGATGACATTCTTGAGAACACCACCCAAGGTTGTCTTCTAGCCTTCATGCTTGTGCACACACATGCACATGCACTCACACACATGCTGCACGTAAAAAAAAAAAAAAAAAAAAAAAAACAAGGGTGGGCATGTAACCCAGGGGTAGAACATTTGTCTAGTATGTTCAAGACTCTAGTCTCACTCCTAGCACTGAAGAAAAAAACAAAACAAAAACAGA